ATATATGGTGACAAATAAATGTTTGGATAATTTTTCAAAAGAACAATCAATAAGTTTTTAAGGCAGGTAAGAAAAAATAAATAACCTTTGGACAAAAAAAAACTAAGATTACTTAACATTTATTACCATCATGGTCTGTCATGTGCAACATGACAAAATGCAAAATTTCTTTACTAAAACCTCTGTAACTTTGCTCCAGTTAATTTTAGCAGCATGAATCTTTGCGCAGGTAATGTCCACAAGTGGATTTATGGTTTCCAAGAGTTTTTAGCCTGAGTCATTATGGTTTTAAATAGGTTATATACTGTCTAATGAAAAGATTATTCAGTTGAGAGTGAATATATGTTCCATACCCAATATCTCTAAAACCACAGCAGCTGTTTTAATACTTACATTACTAATAAAATCTCCCAAGTTTTAACTTTATTTTGATACCCAGATTATTTAAGTAGAGTTTGTAAATGCTGAGATACACTCAATTAAATTTCAGCATGGTATTTTGAGCAAAAACAAGAAAACCCTTCGGCCTTAAGAGGTTAATCAAAAGAGGAAATATTTAAATATTCAGGAACAGKTCAAGATGAATGTTGCCACACTTTATACAAGCACTAGAGGGAGCCAGAGAACATTTTTAGTGGCATCAGGAAAGTTTGAATTGATGACCTGATCACAGCACACCAGTATTTTACTTTACCAAAAGCTTTGTGTACTTGTATTTGCATACCCCACAAACCACACCTAACTGACATTGAGGAAGACTGTCATTAAACTTGTCTCATCTTTCTAGTTTGACTAATAAAAGCAACATTTAAAGCTATAAATGAAATGTGGCACGTTTTGAATGTCAGCTGCTGACTCACTGCTGCTGACTCAAAACAACCTTAGACTGGAAACTCTGCACTAACTTTATCCTTGCTAGGTTGAGCTGAATGCTGAGGACAGATCTTACCGAGGGGATTAATTAAATGCAACTTAATTAGCCAATTAGCCATCTTTACTTTATCACCTTTCATCAGCCATGATTAGAAACTGCAGCCTGAGTGCAGACAATAAGTCAGTGTATGTTCTCTATTTACGGCAGCTTATTAGAGTCGGACATTCCACTTTTACAGATCAGCAAAAGGACAAAAATCAAYAGCATTCAGGTTAGAATTGATTTTGAAAACTTGCCATTTACGTTACCAATAACACCAGTGATGGTTCAGGAGAAAAGGGCAAATTATGAGCTGTCATTGCATCAAACAAGATGCCTGTCTGCCGCTGTGTTGCTGTATGTTTGTGACGTGCGCTGCAGTGTGAAGGCTTACCAGGAGTTCATTCTGAGTAGAACATGTTCATGCCAAATAAAGAATGCCTCACAACAATGGGCCTCATGCAAGAACCATTCGTACACACAGATTTGTTCTTAAGTTGTGCGTACGAGTGATTTAGGAG